TGCGCCCGCGCGCGCGCACACACACACACACACACACACATACACACACACACACACACTGTTTTATTTCCTGTTTGTTTGATTGGTTTTGGGGGTTTTGGGGTTTTGGATTTGGTTCAGTTTAGTTTTGGTCTTGATTTTTCAAGACAGAGTTTCTCTGTGTAGTTACCATGGCTATCCTGGAACTCATTTTGTAGTCTGGGCTGGCTTCTAACTCACCTGCCTCTGCTTCCTGAGCACTGGGATTAAAAGCCACTACACCTGGTTCTCCAAAAATGTTTTTTAAAGAATAGTTTACTTAAACAGTTTAAGCTAGCTGGGTGGTGGTGGCACATGCCTTTAATCCCAGTACTCAGGAGGCAGAGGCAGGTGGAGTTCTGTGAGTTCAAGGCCAATCTGGTCTACAGAGCTAGGTCCAAGACAGCTAGGACTGTTACAGAGAAAAACCCTGACTGGACAAACCAAAAAAGAAAAAAATTAAGCTGATTAGATAAAATATTTTCAGGTTTTCATTTTATTTTTAAGTGTGTGTGTGTGTGTGTGTGTGTGTGTGTGTGTGTGTGTACATAAGAAAGCACACGTTCAGGGTACCCACTATCCCTAGAGCTGAAGTTACTGGCAATTGTAAACCACTTGGCTTGGATGCTGAGAATCCAACTTGGGTTCTTGTAGTTGTTTCTTTTTTATTCTTTAGTCTTTGGGGGGCCGCCACCCAGGTCCCAATAATCACACAGAAACGATTCTTTCTTTTGAATGTCCGGCCTTAGTTTGGGTTATTTCTAACCAGCTTTTCTTAAGCTATTCCATCCACCTTTTGCCTCTGGACTTTTACCTTTCTCTATTTCTGTCTGTCTTTTCTTTTCTTCTTATTTCCTGTCTGCCTGTGGGGCTGGGTGAATGGCCCCTGGCATCCTCCTCTCCTTCGCCCTCCCTTGCTCCCCGATCTTTTGTCCCAGATTTCTCCTCCTATTTATTCTCTCTGCCTGCCAGCCCCACCCATCCCTATCCTGACTAGCTATTGGCTGTTTAGCTCTTTATTAGACCAATCAGATGTTTTTAGACAGGCAAAGTAACACAGCTTCTCAGAGTTAAACAAATACCACATAAAAGAATGCAGCACAACTTTACATCATTAAATAAATGTTCCACAGCATAAAGAAATGTAATACATCTTCAACTAATATTCCACAACCAGCTCTCTGCAAGAGCATCACATGCTCTTAATCTCTCCAGCCTTAGTAAAATAAAAATTTAAAACTCTAACAATTGTGTTGACTCACAACTACAATCTCAGTAAACAGGAAGCTGCTACAGGAGAGCTGCTCCAAGTTCTAGGCCAGCCAGAGCTACATAGCAATAAGTAAACAAACAAATAAATAAATAAATAAATATATAAATGAATACACTTAAAGGACAGTTCAGAACAAACCTGCCTCAGAGGAAGCTGCCATTCTTTGATGTGCAAGACCTGTCTCCTGAAGCATCAAATTATATTTCAGAGAAATTAATAAATGTCCCATCTGTGAAATTACCATAAATTAATCAAGATGTTTATTCAAATTTTACCTAATAAAATATGCTCATGGGTCTAGGACTGGAGTTTTGCTTTTCTGATTATAAATGATTGTAGGTGACTGGCATGGCACAGCATCTTGAATAGATTCTGCTAGTGTTTCGTTTCCTTCAGAGCTATTCGAAAACTTATGTCAAATGACCTTATGATCTGACAGAAAATTCCAAATAAAGTTGGCATTTCGTGTAGATGATGCTGGAGAGTCTGTTTTTCAACTCCAAATCCAGAGCATGAGAAATCAAGTGTGGAATTGCAGTCTTGTTTATTAGCCACATAGGGATTTGCTGCCTCCTTTTAGCTGCATAGCTATTCACTCAGAGCAGAGGCAAATTTGGCTTAGTCATCAGAAAGGTTAAAAGACAGAAGCATCTTTTGCCAGGAGTAAACAGTGAAATAAATCAGAAGACAGCAAGCTGGTACCAGGAACCTGTGTTCAGGAGGGTCAGCCTTGAAGCCAGGCACCGAGCATAGCTTCAGGGGAGAGAAGCAACCGCTCTCCCATGCTTCTGAGCTGGAGTCAGCTCATTAGGAAGACCAAGCCCAAGTGGGGGCGAGGCAGCCTGTTGAGCAGGCTGCAGTGCTGCACGTCTTACTTTAAAAACATGTCATGCACTATTAGTGCAATGGATGTGTTCATGTCAGAGTAGGGGACCTGTGCCGTGGTTAAAGGACAACTTTCAGGTCTTGGTTCCCGCCTGGGGGCTCAGGGGTTGAAATTCAGCCCGTCGGTTAGGCTCGGTGGCAAGTGACTTTGCCCTCTGGACCATCTCACCCATCTTGCAAATCTCTTTCTTTACCCTTTTTATTTTATGTGTAGGGGTATTTTGCTCATATGCACACCACATATATGACTGGTGCCCATGGAAGCCAGATCCCCTGGAACTTGAGTTGCAGACGGTTGTTAGGCAGTTGTTCCTGTGGGTGCTGGGGACCTAGTCCTCTGTAAGACCAGCGAATGCTCCCGACTGCTACAGTGTCCCTCCAGGCTCAGCCCTACACATCTCATTGTTAAAGAAGTGGGACACGGAGAAAAAAAGAAAGAGCTAAGGCAGCCTTTTGCCAATTGACTCAAGGCAAGACCCCTGAAAGGTAACTAGAAAAGCAGATTTATCCATTCTGGGTAGCAAATTAGAAATCTAGAATATTCTTTAGGTACCCTATCATCAGCTCATTTATAAAATACATGGAATCCGTGCACTTGTTAAGCATTATATCAGCCACAGAGCAGGGTTCTGGTCTAATAGCCCAAGATTGCCTCAAGTTTCCATCAACTGTGTCCGCAGTCACCATGGCCCACTAAACTAACACCTCCACCCCATTCTGCTCCTCCATAAATGCTGGTCCCCCATATGCTGGCCACTTGAAGAACTGGCTGTATAATAGTTATAAAAGGCTTATATAATCAGAAACCTTAATGTACTTATTAGTTGTGGACTACGCAATAATTTAAAGTGGGATATTATTCAAAGAAACAGAAACTACTTTAAGATCTTCGTTGGAGTTTCTATTGCTGTGAAGGGACTCCATGACCTGTACAATGAATTCTAATTGTTCTTAATAATAAAAAACAAAGACAGATATTTGGCTTAAAGCTGAAAATCAGAGAAGCAAAGTGTCCAGCCGCTAGAGAGTTCTCACCTCTACCAACGCTCAGACCAAAGGGGCGACCCTGTCCTCAGACTGCTTCTCCACACTGCCTCTGTCTCCACCAAACCTCAGACTGCACTGACTCCTGTCTCCTCCTGCCTTACATTCCTCTCTAGTGCTGGGACTCAAATCGTGGGATGCCAAGTGCTGAGATCACCTTTGCGATCTTTTAGACTGGATCAATTTTGTGTAGCTCAAGGTGGCTTTGAACTAACAGAGATTCATCTGCCTCTGTCTCCTGAGTGCTGGGATTAAAGGTGTGCCACCACCGCCCAGCCTCTGTGGCTAAACAGTGTGGCTAGCCCTGCACTCCAATCTTCAGATAGGCTTTATTTGTTAGATCATAAACAAAATATCACCATGACCGCAGCAACTCCTATAAAGAAAACATTCACAGCTCAGAAATTCAGTCCATTAGCACCATGGTGGGACACGGTGTTGGAGAAGTAGGCGCCAGAGTCCTGAATCACGCAGGCAACAGGAAGTGGTCCGAGACACAGGGTATGACCTGAGCATACAGGAGACCTCAAAGCCCACCCCCACAGTGACACTTCCTCCAAAGCCATGGCTTCTCCAACAAAGCCACACCTCCCGATAGTGCCACGCCTCTTAGGGGCCACAGGATCCATCTGAAGATGAGACTCAGGAAACAGCTCCCACTCATCAGAGCAGTTAAGTGTTCAGAGGGAAAAGCCCTTTGCATTTCTAGACCAGTGCTTCTCAACCCTCCTAATCTGCAACCGTTCCTCATTTCATTACTACTTCACAACTGTAATTTTGCTACTGTTAGGCATTGAAATATAAATATCTGATACATGACAACCCACAGGTTGAGAACCACTGATCTAGAAAGAGCATGGGAAAGAGCAAAACGACATAAAAATTTTAATAAGACACTTTCAGCTAATAGGTTAGACCCTAAAAATAAAGCTCTGCATAAGAATTCGAATAATTTTTAATTATTTCACTATTTGAAAAATCAACTCAATTCCCTACATAATTTTACCTTTTAGCCACACCAAAATATAATAACAGGACTTGCTAAATTATCTCAGATATGATATGGTTGTCAGTGTAAGAGGAAATTCAATATTAGAGCCACAGAGAAGCATACAAAACAGGTTGTAGTGCACAGAGCCAGGCCCTTGTCAGACAGGCCAGGCTCAGAAAAGGGGTCCTTCCCCTTGCTGACTCTGCAGCTTTCAGAAAATTATTTAACCCTTGAGTTTCAGTTCCTTTGTCTATAAACAAACTAACACATCTCTCTAAACATCCTCCACAGACCCTTAGTATAATGTTCTTTTAATGACTTTGAATAAAATTTAAGTCCAATATACTACTGCTTTAAGAAAAAAAAACCCTGGTCAGGCTCACTCCTTTAATCCCAGCACTCAGGAGGCAGAGGCAGGTGCATCTCTGTGAGTTTGAGACCAGCCTGGTCTACAGAGCGAGTTCCAGGACAGGCTCTAGAGTAATACAGAGAAACCCTGTCTCAAAAAACTAAAAAAAAACTTCTGATGTGATTTTGAACATTTTCCTTGTGGAATCATGCTATCCATTTTTATATTCACAGAGGACCTAGTGGAGTTCTTTGATGTAGGGGGTTACTCAAAACAGACATTTCCAATGAATGAATTTTTATCATTATTTCTCTCCTTTTCTTTCTTTCTTTTTTTTTGGTATATTTGACAAAATTGGATATTACTTTCTGTTCATATCATGATTTGAAATCACATTTAAGTTTATGAGGGAAATCTAAAGATTATGTTTTTGTACTTACGAAGTGATTGCCCTAAATCTTCATGCTCCTTTCACTATTTACATCCAGTGTTGGCTTGTGTTTCTAGAAACCCATATATTCTGAGGAAACCTGGAAAAGAAGGTAACCATAGAATGTTGGGCTAATTACAGAATAAACAAAAGTAAAAAGCATATTTCCGATCAGAGAAGTTATACCTACCAAATTACATCACTATATTACATAGTAACCATTCCAGCTCTTACAATACTGCCCACCTACAGAAATTCAAATGCAGCAACATGAAAAAATAATTATATTCTAGCAACTTGCTAGAAAATGTGTATTTTTTATAACTTTATATAAATAGTTCTGCATAGATAGTGGGACAAAAAGAAACTATACAAATGACCAAAATGCAGTATATCAAATTCCTTAAGAATTCACAAAAATTATCTTAGAAAAAAGAAGGAAAACATAAAAAACAATAATAGTAGCAGGGTCAGGATGAGTGACGGTTAATTTTAATTGCCTAGGCTATGGTAGCTAGAAGACAGGCCTTTGGGCATGCCTATGGGGCTGCAGTAAGGTCAATGGCCCCTCCATGGGCGGTGCACACATATACAAATGAGTATTCTCTCTGTCTCTCTCTCTCTCCCTGTCTCTGTCTCTCTCTATCTGTCTCTCTCTGTCTCTGTCTCTCTCTGTCTGTCTCTCTGTCTGTCTCTCTCTCCCTGTCTCTCTCTCTGTCTCTGTCTCTCTCTCTCTCCCTCTCTCCCTCTCTGTCTCTCCCTGTCTCTCTCTCTCCCTGTCTCTCTCTCTCTGTCTGTCTGTCTCTCTCTCTGTCTGTCTCTCTCTCTCCCTCTCTCCCTCTCTGTCTCTCTCCCTGTCTCTCTCTCTCTCTCTCTCTCCCTCTCTCTCTCTCTCCCTCTCTCCCTCTCTGTCTGTCTCTCTCTCTCCCTCTCTCCCTCTCTGTCTCTCTCCCTGTCTCTCTCTCTCTGTCTGTCTCTCTCCCTCTCTCCCTCTCTGTCTCTCTCTCCCTGTCTCTCTCTCTGTCTCTGTCTCTCTCCCTCTCTCCCTCTCTGTCTCTCTCCCTGTCTCTCTCTCTGTCTGTCTCCCTCCCTCCCTCCCTCCCTCCCTCCCTCCCTCTCTCTCTCTCTCTCCCTCCCTCTCTCTCTCTCCCTCTCTGTCTTTCAAGATTTATTTATGTTCATTTTATTTTACGTGTCTGAACGTTTGCCTGTGTATACATGTGTGTATCACCTCTGTGCCTAGAGACTGAGGAGGCCAGATGAGAGTTCAGCTTCCTCTAGAACTGAAGTAACAGATGGTTATGAGCCCCCATATGGATGCTCTGGAACGGAAGTAACAGATGGTTATGAGCCCTCGTATGGATGCTCTGGGAGAGCAACAAGTGCTCTCAACCTCTGAGCCTCTCCGGAATCATCAAATAATTCCTAGTGAAGTATCTTCAGAGACAGACTCCAAATTCTATGGACCGACTTTAGACAGAAGCTCATCATGGGCCTCTCCATCAAACTGAGTCATCCCTGAGCAGCGTATAGCAGGGGCCACTTGGAGAACAGCAGGTATCCCCCAGATGGTCCCTCAGCAGCAGACACTGTTCTCTGGCTCTCTCGTCTCATCCCTTCTTTTGTTTCCGTCCTAGTCTACCTGGGTTATCACTGACTTCTCCTTGAATCTTGCATCCATCTTCCCTCTGCAGGACATTGGCAATCCACTGCCCCCTTTCCTGTGGCCCAGAAATTCTCTCAGTACCTGCAATGATCTAAAACAATTTTTTAATTCTCTTCCTTCAACCTGTTCCCATTGATGAGTAAGAAGCAAGGGGAAGTTTATACTGTGAAGACAGGACATTGATTAGAAATGACACTGTAATGTAGGGGTGGTTTTGGAGCCTCTCTTGGAGAGCGAGGGTCCCAGAAACTCATAGGCCACTGAAGCTTCCCAAGCCAGTGGTTTGTCTCACAAATTCCAAATATAGAATTCATGGGCCATAGAGGGTGAGTGTTTCTCATAGATTCATAGACTGGAGCTGAAGAGGGAGAAACAGCCACAGTATCAATCTGAGTTAGGCATGGAGGTCAGCCACAGGGCCGCCACAACCACAAAACAGACAAGGCAGTGAGGGGAGTTTTACAGGAAGAGTGAAAAGAACCAGAAGTACCAGGGGAAAAAATATACTTATGTTCTGGTCAGCACCCAAAGAAAGAGGAGAAAAGAAGGGGGAACTGCACCTTTTCTGAGTCAGGACTCTGAATAGCAGGCAGACCCAGCCGAACCCCATGGCAGCTTGTAGGGACTATGCTACCGCAGAGGGGAATTCTGGGAAGAAAGAGTGCACTATCTCAATAAGGGATAATTATCCAACTATCTTTTTAGCATGATTTAAGGTGAACCTGCCTTCCCGAGGGTGGTCCCTTGGCCTGCTGATTAGATTAACTCCTAAGGGGCAGGCAATGTTGTCTCTACCCAGAGACAGACCATACTCCTTTGACAACAGCTTTCCCTTCCTGGGCCTACAGTGCTAGCATAACGGAAGGGCACAGACTAGACGGTTTTCTTTACGGAAGGGCACAGACTAGACGGTTTTCTTTACGGAAGGGCACAGACTAGACGGTTTTCTTTACGGAAGGGCACAGACTAGACGGTTTTCTTTACGGAAGGGCACAGACTAGACGGTTTTCTTTTCTTTTCTTTTGTGCCCTGCACGGCTTTGCTAGCGCACTAAAAACTTCAGACCTTTGCCCCATCTCTACGGACAGCTCTCAACGGGTTGTTACATGCAAATCATATTCCTCCTGCTACTCTGAACTGAAAACCATTTAACAGGGCTTTCCCCTCGACCTTGGGCCTCCTTTATTAAATCGTCTTAGAACCAGCCATTGGGCTCTGCTGAGGGTTGGGAAAAGACAGCCTCACCCACACACAGTTGCTGCAGGTCAGCACGGCACCTAAGGCCTGTGAGCCAAATGCGGCTCTTTGACTGGTCTGTAAGCAGTTTTCCCGGAAGACAACTATGACCACTCATCGATTGACTACATCAGCTTCTGTTCAAAGCAAAGCTGCGTTGTTGCAAGAGTGTCCATGCGGATGTGAAACCTTAACTACTGTTCATCTGGGTCCTCAGAGGAAAAATTTCCCAACCCCAGACACAGCTGCTCCTGCCTAAAAGCAAGGCTACCTCAGCTGGATGTGGTGGTGTATATCTTTAATCCCAGCCCTTCGGAAGTAGAAGCATGCTGATCTATGTGAGTTCCAGGCCAGCCTGGTCTACAGAGTGAGTCTCAGGACAGCCAGGGCTATACAGAGAAACCCTATCTTGAAAAAAACAAAAAGAGAGAAAAAAGAAAACAAGAGGGGGGAGGGAGGGAGGGAGGAAAGAAGGAAGGAAGAAGGAAGGGAGGAAGGAAGAAGGAAAAAGGAAGAGAAGAAGGAAGGAAAAAGGATAAAGGAAGGAAGGGAGAAGGGAGGAAGGAGGAAATGAGGAAGAAAGAAGGAAAAGGAAGGGAAGAAGGAAGGAGGAAATGAGGAAGAAGGAAGGAAAAGGAAGGGAAGAAGGAAGGAAGGAAGGAGGAAGGAAGGAGGAAGTGAGGAAGGAGGAAGGAAGGAAGGAAGAAAAGGAGGGAAGGAAGAAGGAAGGAAAGAGGAAGGAAGGAAGGAGGAAGGAAGAAGGAATGAGGAAGGATGGAAAAAGGAAGGAGAGAAGAAGGAAGGAATAAAGAAGGGAGGAGGAATGAAGAGAAGAAGGAAGGAACGGAAGGGGGAAGGAAGAAAGAAGGAAGGAGAAAGGAAGAAGGAAGGGAAGGGCATTCCCCACACAAAGGCTCCATCCTGGCCATTCTAGCTGCTGCTCTGCTCTGACTTCTCACAAATATAGACTTGGGCTCTAGATAAATTCATCTTTTTATTTCTCTTTCCTGAATCTTCCATGCCTTGACTGAGGATAGAGGTGTAATATTGAAGATGGCGGTGTCTATAAAAATTAGCATTGTGCAAACCTGATCTTTGCTTTCTATGGGCAAGTTCATACACGTGAAACCTTGATGCCTCTCTTGATTCCCTATCCCCACCCTCTTAAGCATATCCAACTGGTCATGGACAGCCAACATCAACCCCCTTCACTGTTTACAGAACTCTGCTTCTATCCGTACTCATCAGTGGGCTTGGCCTGGTCATCATACCCCCATAACCCATTCACCGCAGGCATGGTTTCCTCCAAGGCAGAGTCGTTCTCAACTAAGGTAAATCTCTACCTCATAATCAGGGTTCCTGCATCACTGAATGATAGCCGCACCATTTTCCTACTCGCTCAAACTAAAGCCTTGGAATTGTCTTTTAGCTTGTCATTTTTTCTCCATATCTTACACTGTACTTAATCAGCAAGCCTTGTCACCTCTACTTAAAAACTAAAAGAGGCAGACACCCACAGCCTAAACACTGAGCAGAACTCAAGGAACCCAGTGACAGAGAGGGAGGACTGATGAGCAAAGGGGTTAAGACTGGGCTGGTTTAACCCCCAGAAACAGCTGACCTGACAAGGGTTAGCTCTTGAATCTCAGACTGATGGCTGGGAATCCAGCATGGGACTGATCAAGACTCCCTGAATGTGGGAGTCAGTGAGGAGGCCTAGGCAATCTATGAGGCCTTGGGTAGTAGATCAGTATTTATCCCAGGCATACAAATGGACTTTGGGTGCCCATCCCACAATGAGAGATGCTCTTTCAGCCTGGACTCTTGGGGTAGGACCTAGACCCTGCCCTGGATGAAATGACAGACTCTGGAGATCCCCCATGAAGGGCCTCACCCTCCCTGGGGAAAAGAGTGGGTAATGGGGGAGAGGGAGGGAGGTTGGAGGGAAGGCGTGGGAGGAGGAGAGGGAGAGGGAGAGGGAGGGATTGACATGTGAAGCAACCTTGTTTCTAATTTAAATTTAAAATAAAAAAAAAGACATTGCCTGGCGTTGGTGGCCCACACCTTTAATCCCAGCACTAAGGAGGCAGAGGCAGGTGGAACTCTGTGAGTTTGAGGCCAGCCTGGTCTACAGAACGAGTTCCAGGACAGCCTCCAAAACAATACAGAGAAACCCTGTCTCAAAAAAAAAAAAAAAAGACATTAAAAAAAGAAAGAAACTAAAAGAGGATCCAGGTGCAATGACACACACCTGTGACCCCAGCGCTTAGGAGGAAAACACAGGAGGACCGAGGGTTCAAGGCTGGCCCTGTATAAATAGGCAGTTCCAGGCCAGCCCGACCTTACATGAGACCCTGTCTGATGATGATGATGATGATGATGATGATGACGACACACTCCAAGTTAATAACCAATTGAAAACAACCCAAAAGAGAAATGGATATAGAACATTTCCTTTACAACATATTACCTGAAAACGGAGCTGCAGTCCATGCCTCGTTCTTCTGCCCACGGGTGAGAAGGCAGCATACTAGTGAATCCGGCAATTCTGGCTTCCATTCAGACCCAGCTGCACGGACCACGGTGGGCTGGGCATCCCTGTATGGGCGGAGCTAGACAGACAGCAACTCCTTCGCTACTTCACAACATAGGACTAGGGCAAAGGCACACTCTCGGCACACAGTGAGGGGGTAGAGCCGGAACAGGGGCAGGAGCAGCATGGGGTAGAGCCTGACCGCTGACCGCGAGAAGGAGCAGCATGGTGGCATTCCCCGGTACTGCCTGCTCTGCCGCCAGACTGACACCTTCTGAAAAAGGGAAATGGTGACAAAAAGAAAACTAGGTTCCCTGCGGATCACGGTGGAGATCTGTCCCTTTACTCCATTAGGGTTAACCGTTAACTGGTGGTATGGCTGCCATCTATGAGGGACTTGATTAAAAGTCTACTCAAACAATCCTAGTCCCACCTTCAAACAGCTACACCCCAGAGTCAGGCCTGATTCCTCCGGGTTCCTGCTGGCTGGCATTTATTAGAAAGAAGATGCCAAAATGGATCAGAAAATTATATAAATTACTTGAAAGCCTGTCTACCAAGCTGGAGATCCCTTGGCCGTTCTGTTTCCCTATCACACTGTGCACTGAGATGAAAATAACAACATAAAAATATGCTAATCTTAAAAATGCCAGCAACATACCAAGTCCCGGATTTGAATATTAACTACCTTCTTACATGGATTTTCCCAGAAGGAAATTAAAGTTAAAAATTAAATCTGCATGCAAATTAATCCAAACATTTCAGAGGTCAGCAGAATCAAAGTCCAAAAATCTCACTGTCAGTGCTTGGGACGTGGATTCAAAGAAACTGAAGTTGAGCCGAGCTTTCTCCTCCCAGGCGCTGCTTCTGCCTAGACTGCGAGGGTTGGGCTGTAGGCAGAGGTGGGCAGTAACCTCAGCCTCCCTCATCCTCAGCGGCACAGAGGGAAGGCTTGAAGGATTTTAGATGATGAATGCTTCTTCTTTCTTTACGCTACAGTTGAAGATGTTACAGTACACTAAAGATTATCACAGACTTGAACCAAGCGCACCGCATCTAGAAAACACACTACTTTTATCTAAGGCAGAATGTTTTCAGCACTGGCAACAATTAAGTGGGACTAGACGGAAGGAGGTCAGAGCACGAGAAGAGCTTTGGGTTGACCTCTCCGAGACGCCGGCCAGCCTGGGACAGTTCTCCACAATCCGGTCTCTGCATTTACAGTCTGAATCCCACGTTCTGACACGTCTACATATCTGTTGATGGGAGTGGGGCTGAGATCTCTAAGCAGCCCTCTTTCTCTAGTAGAATTTAGGTCCATGCAACCTTCTTATAGAGTCAGAAGCGTAAATCACAAGACTCCGTTTGATTTCTCCTTGCTTCTGTTTATCTGTAACTCTGACTCCCTTGATCCTTTTGAACACTCTTCTTCCAGCATCCTGACACGGAACTGAATTCAAGCCCCATCAGCCCGAGCCGGAAGGGGTGTTTCTGTCGGCAGCCGGCAGCCATGGGACAGGAGGAGCCAGGACACAGGGACACAAAGCTCCCCGCTGCAGCCACCTGCAGCAGCCCGAGCACTTCTGTTCAGAGAGCTCTGCTCAGGTGAAAACGCCATCCTCACGGCATTGGCAGTAGCCTGCAATTATTGCGGTGGTGTCTATGGGAAACCTTTGACCAATGACTCAGCAAGAGGTTACCCATTCCTGGCATAAGACGTATACTTGGGCACTACGTTCCTGAGTACATGGTGACCTCTCATCACATTTGAGGACATTTCGTCAGCAGCAGGTTCCACACAACTTTTCAAAAGCTCTTGGGTGTCAATTATCCCACTCCACATTCCCTTCTTCCCCTACCTTCCTGTCTCCTCCCCATCTGACCCTCCCAGTCTAGTTTCCCGGGGCCTCTCTAAAGCACCAGATTGCATTTCCCCTCCTTCCTGCCGGTCTCTTAGCTCATATAACCTGTTGTTATTTGGACAAAAGTACCAATAACCAAAGCTTAAAAATTAACATCCACATACCAAAACAAAACATGCAATGTTTGTCTTTCTGGATCTGGGTTTCCTCACTCAGGGTGATTGCTTCTAACTTCATTTACCAGAGAATTTTGTAATTTCATTTTTCCTAACAGTAGAATAATATTCCATCGTGTAAATTACCACATTTTTATTATCTACTCATCAGCTGATAGACACTAAGCTGTTTGCATTTTCAGGTTTTTGTTTTGTTTTGTTTGCTTGTTTTTGTTTTGTTTTGTTTTGCTGTTTGGTTTTTCGAGACAGGGTTTCTCTGTATTGTTTTGGAGGCTGTCCTGGAACTCTCTCTGTAGACCAGGCTGGACTCAAACTCAAGAGATCGCCTGCCTCTGCCTCCCGAGTGCTGCATTTTCAGGTTATTATAAAAGAGACACAATGAACATGGATGAACAAGTGTCTTGGTGGTAGGATGCAGAGTCTTTTGAGTATACGCCAAAGAGTGGCAAATCTATGTCTTGTGGTCAATAAAATCTCCGCTTTTCGAAGCACCTCCACACTGATTTCCATAGTGTCTGTATAATTTACACTCCCATCAGAAATGATTATGTGCCCCCCCCTTACCGCTAATCCTCACTTGCATAAGCTGTCTTTCTGTCTGGGGGAAGATGAAATATCAAATTAGTTTTAATTTTCATTTCTCTGATGGCTAAGAATGATGAACATTTTAAAACTGTTTCTCAACACTTTTCATCTTTTGAGAATTCTGTTTAGTTCTATACCTCATTTTTAAATTGGGCTTTTTTTTTAGTTCTTTGTACATTCTAGGTACTAATCCTCTGCCGGATATGTAATTGGCAGGCTTTTCCCCCATTCTGTAGGCTGCTGCTTTTCTCAAATGATAGTATCACTTTCTATACAGAAGCTTTTAAGCTCCACGAGGTCTCATTTATTAATTGTCGACGTCACCTTCCAAATTCAGATGGGAAGACCCTATTGCTGAAGACACCACCTAGTCATGTGATCAAACACAGAGAAATGGAGCTGATAGCCCAGCTTCACTTTATTTCTACATGTGCTAGAAGGTATCAGGCACACTACCAGAGGAGACAAGTAATTATCAGTAAACTCTGAACCACTGGACCTACAAGAGTGACCTGCCTGCAAGATATACCGACTGGCACAATAGTGACAAAATGTTAAGGGAGTGGCCAAACACATTTTTTATTGGATTTAAAGTCCACTGCCCAAGATGGAAACCATGCTTGACATGCTAACATGAAAAAGAACCTAGGAATAGTTAGGTCACGTGCCCCAGGAGAAAACCTACTACTATTATCCTGATAAATAAACAAAGCAATCAAACAACTCCCAATGACAAATATTATTACACTCAGCCCTGTCTTTTCTGTAGCCTGTCATGGCTGCTAAAGCAGGGGACTGAGTGAGGGTCTGGTCCCTTTATTTCTACATTATTAGAAGTGAAGCCTTTGAGTTTAGTTTACCCCTTTCATTAATCATCTTGTTGCTTTGCTCTGCTGTATCTCTGTTTCCTCCAGGGTTGAGGTTCCAGAATTCATCCCATTTGTTAAGTGGTTCCCTTCCCTTTCTAGTGCATTCTGAACTAGAGCTAATGGTCTTCCTTCCTCGATTTTCTCCATGCCTTCTGGTCCAGAAAATGGTTTTTTTCTACTGTATCTCTGTAGCTTTGATACAGTGGACCACCTTAAAGAGGGATATACAATAAAGTTTAGGACTATTTTGTATAACTAGACCTTGGGTCTATTTAGGGCTATTTTATTTAAATAAACCTTGGGTCTCTCTCATAGAAGAGATGTCAAATCTGTGGGAACACCAGACCTTGAGCAGAGACCCACTTCCCCTTCTGCCTGGGAGTAGGCAGCTGTAAGACAATGTTTAGTAAAAACATGTTTACTAAAAATGATACAATAAGTTCCTGGCCACTTCCCCTTCTGCCTGGGAGTAGGCAGCTGTAAGACAATGTTTAGTAAAAACATGTTTACTAAAAATGATACAATAAGTTCCTGGGAAAGGCCTTCCCACGGAAACCGCCCTGACCTCGACCTTGTCCAGAGACTAACCGCACCTTCAAAAACCCACACACATCCACCTCTGGGGTCAGAGCAGAACCAGCCAGGGGAGAGGAGAGAGCAGAAGCTTCTCTGGTGGGAGCTTTTCTTAGGAGGTTTTTCTTGAACCTTTTTGGAGCCTGTTTAAAGTTCTCTTTATATCGTTGAACGAGTCTCTGTGTTGTCAATCCCCGACACCCTCCGCACGTTCTCGGACACAGGCCACGCAGCAGACGTGACAATTGGAGGTCCCACTGAGATCGTGAAAGCGAGGTAAGTGGACGGGGTTAAGAAACTATGGGGAATAGTTCTGGGAAGCTAGAATCATTACAGTATCAACTAAAAAAGTTACTTAAAGAACATGGGACTGCAGTCAAGTCTAAAACCCTAGAAGGCTTTCTAAAATCGATCGAACGAGCCAGTCCATGGTTCATTACTGGGGGAAGCTTAAATATTCCAGATTGGGAGGAGGTTCGCCGTGATCTTCATAGACTTTTACGAAAAGAGGGATCTGAGTCCTTGCCCCCTACGACATTCTCCTTATGGAGATTAGTGAGGGAGCACTTTTGACAGATAAGGTTCGTCACCGCCAGGTAGTTCAGGACACAAAAGAGGCTTTTTAGAGTTACAAGAGACTGAGACTCAAGCCTCCTTGAGTTCAGGGGCAGAGAGTGATGATGAAGAGACCGTGATTGAAACTAGAGGCTCCATTGTTAGTGAGGATGAGGAGGAGTCTCTTAGTAACAACAAAAAACGGGTAGACATCTCCGGGCGCGACCCAAAAGAAGGACTCCGGTCAGAATCGGTTATATCCTTCTCTATCAGACCTAGAAAATGGAAGTAGCTCAGACTCAGACTCTTCACAGTCTGAAAAGGAACGGTTACTTGCTGAGATCGCGGCCCTTAAAAAGAACTAAAAAAGATTCTAATTAAGGAAAGACAGGACAGGGAGAGAAACCCTTCCCCATACTCTGAAAAAGGGACTCCTCCTATGAGATAACCCAGTCCTTCTCAGACCTGGAGGGAAGACCCAGAGGAGGGGTCCAATGCTGCCCGGTGGTGGCCCCAGTAATGGAAGTTACAGATCTGAACAATTCTGGACAGGTCATTAGGCGTCATAACCCTTTAAATTTTAAGGATATAAAACAACTTAAAGAGGCAACTTTAAATTATGGAGCACAGGCTCCCTTTACACTTTCCTTAATGGAATCTTTTGCGTCTCTTAATTTGACACCTGGCGATTGGCAGCAGCTTTGCAGAGCAGCTCTGTCGGGGGGAGATTATTTGATTTGGAGAGGTAAGTTTCAGGAAAGATGCAGCCAGACAGCCCAAAGAAATGCACAGGCCGGACAGCCCCAGAGAAATGTGGAGATGCTTACAGGAAGTGGTCAATATGCCACCATTCAGCAACAAATGCAATATGACATCGCAGTCTATGCCCAAGTGGCAGCAGCAGCCCAAGGGGCTTGGAAAGCATTGCCTTCCAAGGAAGGAGGGGATCATCTGTCCAAAGTCCTTCAAGGACCTTCCGAACCTTTTCAAGACTTCGTAGACCGTCTCAGTCAGGTAGCAGAAAGAATATTTGGGGGCATTGGGCCTGCGATGCCAGTCATAAAGCAGATGGCATTTGAAAATGCAAATAAATATTGTAAGGAAGCCCTTCGCCCCTATCGCAATAAAAGTTTAAATGACTATATCCGGATCTGTAGGGACATTGATGGGAACTTCATCCAGGGCCAAGTGTTAGCTGCTGCTATTCGGCCCCAAGTGGGGAAAGAAAGACCTACTCTGGGAAGGAGAAAAACATGTTTTAGCTGCGGTAGGGAGGGACACTTCCGTAGAGAGTGCCCTCAAAATAGTACTACAGGTCTCAAGAGACCTGGTTTATGCCCCGTTGTCGAAGGGGATATCATTGGGCCAATAACTGCTACTCTAAAACTGACAGGGAGGAAATTTCCTTTCTGCTAATAATAATCAGGGAAACGGGAGGAGGGCCCCGCCCCAGGGCCCCAAAACCAATGTGTGCGGGCAATGACCCCTGCTCTGGGCAGTGGCAGGACTCATTTTCTCCCCAGAGCAACCCCTTCATATCTCAGACCTCCTTAGAGCCACCTCGGGAGTGCAGGATTGGACCTCGCTCCCTCTGCCCGGGCAATCCTAACACCGGAAATGGGGATCCAGGCCCTCCCTACTGGGGTGCATGGGCCATTGCCCCCAGGCACGGTCGGACTACTTTTGGGACGGTCCAGTACTATTCTTCGAGGCATCCAGGTACACCCCGGTGTTATAGACCAGGATAGTGAGGGGAGATTAAAATAATGACATCAGTGGGCAGTGGGGTTGTTGCCATCCCTGCAGGAGAACGGATTGCTCAGATACTCCTTCTCCCTACAGCTCCTTGTGAGGCTAGAAAAATTAAAGAGAAAAGGGGCAACCAAGGTTTTGGAAGTACTGGCCCGGTAGCATTTTGGGTAGCCACTATGGAGAACCGCCCCCAGCTTACATTAAAGATAGAAGGCAAGTCCTTTAGGGCGTCTTAGATTCTGGGGCAGATTTTTCTGTCCTCTCAGATAAATTTTGGCCCCCGCCTGGCCGAAAGAGGAAGGGACAGTGACCCTCCAGGGAATAGGACAGGCTGTACCCCAAAAAGCCTCAGAATCCTAAAGTGGCAAGACTCTGAGGGCCACACAGGGCTTTTCCAGCCATATGTTTTGCCTGGCCTCCCTATTAACCTCTGGGGACGGGACCTCATGCAAGAAATGGGAGTGGTCCTCACCACTCAGGCACCCAAGTCCAAAAGCAGGGGCCCCCAGATGACGCAAGGGAGGGGCTGGAGCCCGGGAGGGAACTAGGTAAACTAGAACAGGGAGAGGTTTGCCCTGTGGCATCCCTCCCTTTGGAGACCAGGGCCCCAGGGGATAGGAAGGGTTTTGGCCATTTTTGATGAGGGTCACTGTTGCGCCGCCAGCCCCCATACCCATCACATGGCTATCAGATGATCCGGTATGGGTGGAACAGTGGCCCTTACCAGCGGAGAAACTAAGGGCGGCTCACCAGCTAGTTCAAGAACAATTGGAGGCAGGTCATTTGGTTCCTTCCACGTCCCTTGGAATACCCCTATATTTGTAATAAAAAAATCTTCAGGGAAATGGAGGTTACTACAAGACTTGAGGGCCGTGAATGCGACCATGCAGCCTATGGGGGCTCTGCAGCCTGGCTTGCCCGTGCCTGTGGCCATTCCTAAAGACTGGCATTTGATTGTCATTGACTTGAAGGATTGCTTCTTTTCTATTCCCTTGCATTCTCAAGATAGTCCTCGGTTTGCGTTTAGCCTTCCTGCGATTAACTTTAGGGAGCCTGCCCTTCGTTTCCAATGGGTGGTGCTCCCCAAGGGATGGCTAATAGTCCAACTATATGCCAGATTTATGTAGCTGCCTGTTTAGATCCCCTCAGACGTAAGTTTCCTGATCTTTACATTATCCACTACATGGATGATATTCTTTTGGCCGCGGCCGAAGAAAGACAATGTTACATAGCCTTTGCAGAGCTACAGGAACTTCTGGAGGCCCGCGGATTTATTTTGGCTCCTGAAAAGATCCAAAAGAGACCCCTTATACTTATTTGGGTCATCAAATTCAACAAACTGGCCTCCGGCCACAAAGACTCCAAATTGATTGTTCAAATTTAAAAACACTTCATGATTGGCAGAGATTCTTGGGAGAGGTGCAATGGTTTCGCCCTTCTCTTTCTATTAAAACAGGGGCCCTTAAAGCGCTTTATGATATTCTTCCTGGAGATCCTGCTCCAACTTCCCTAGACAGATTACCCCAGAGGCCAGGAAGCCCTACAATTGCTGTTAAGAAGTATAGAGCAAGCCCACCTTTGGCGTATAGATTATGGGCAGCCCCTTGTTCTGGTTGTACTTTCATCTAGCTTTTCGCCCACTGCCGTGTTTTGGCAGACTGGTCCTATTTATTGGGTACATTTGTCAGCCTCCCCTAAGAAGGTAGTGACCCCTTACTATGATCTCATTTTACAATTGTTGTGGAAGGCACACAAGTTTAGCATTCAAACCTTTGGAAAGAGTCCTGATAAAATTATCCTTCCTTATGGTAAGGAGGAGGTGGAACATCTACAGATCTTCCATGATGGGTGGACCCTGTTTATTACATCTACAGGCGCACAGTTTGATAACCAATATCCCAACAGCCCCTTGATGTCTTTTTTCAAACAACACCCTGTGATCTTTCCCAAGATTTTAAAGGAGAACCCTCTAGTTGGAGCTCGCTCAGTCTTTACAGACGGCTCCTCCAAGGGTTTCGCGGTGGTGGTTTCTTCTCAGGTGCAGAAGAGGTACCCACAGGACAGATGTCAGCACAAGCCGCCGAGTTGTTTGCTTGCTTGATGGCTTTCCAAATGTTTGAGGGAGAGCCCTTTAATTTATATACTGATAGTGTTTATGTTGCCAACATTGTTAGACCTTTAGAAACTTCTCCATATGTTCTTCCAACCTCCCAGGTTCGTTCCTTATTAGTTCAGCTCCAACATCTTATTTGGCAGCGCATCCACCCTGCTTATGTGGGATTTATTCGTGCACATACTAACCTTCCAGGACCCCTTGCCCAGGGCAATGAAATTGCTGACTCCTTGACCCGCCCTAGGGTCTTATTTACTCAGGAGCAGCTGGCCCACCAGCTCCATGAGAGGTATCATCTAAATGCCCGCTCCATTAAATTTC